TGTTTGATTACTAGAGAATGACGGTTCAAAGTGTATAATCCGCCGTTTCTTTTTCATAGTGATCGTTTTTGCAGGCGTGTTACGTTCTATAAAACGTTAGATAAGATTACAAATAAGAAATAAAAGAAATGCCAAATTCTTACTTTCAACGCCGTGAAAAATTTCTTCCTTATTTGTTTTTGATTTCTTTCTTTTTCGTTTCTTTTTTACGTCAAGTCGTACCTGAGTGTTTAACCCAGGGACGAAAATACTTCCGCAATGCGCACAATATCTTCGTCTGACACCATCGGCAAGATTTAGATCTTCATTAATTGCACATTGAATAAATTTTTGCATATAAAAAGCTGATAAACCGGGGACGGTAGGCAGTAAAGTATGAGAAGCGCCCCAAAGAAAATGAAGACGCTTCGTTGTATCCTCTACGCTCATGTCATATACAAGTCTAAAAACTGATCATGAAACCACGTGATAAAATGTCAAAGGTGTTTTTAGTGATCAGTGGAAATGTCCCTTAATTTTTTGTGTAACATATTTTACTATAAGATCTGCGTGCGACATTTTACACATTTTATAAGAAAAAAAGCAAATTATAATTTTTATCTCTATAGTAGCCCCACAACGTTACAATTTATTGCATATTTGTATTATAATGTTTATAACACGTCGAGTCTTTCTTTCTCTAATGATAAGCTTAAAATCCTTAACGAATTAAAAACTGAAAAAGATCTTTCATTTAAAAATGAATGACAATACCTTATTTTTATACTATCACGGGATCCAAGATTGTCAAAAATCAATAGAGGCGAAGTTTGTTAGTGAATATTTGTTCTTGGAAATAGTTATAAAGATGAAATTGGAATTAAAGAATGAACATAAATGAGACATGCTAGTGAATATATGCACTAGCGGCTGCTATAGAAATGAAATTGGAGTTAGAAAGCATAAGACATTTCAGTAGTAATGTGCACGCTATAGAAATACATTATTGCTGGTTATTGTTGTGATGAAAGAATTGGAATTAAAAAGGATGCACCGGTAGTAGTGATCCAAATCGGACCAAAAAATGCAATCGATTAATCAACCAAAATTTTTTTTTAAAAATCGATTAAAAATCGA